GAGCGGGTCGAGAGCAGGGCCACAAAGATGATCTGAGGGCTGGAGCGCCTCTCCTATGAAGAAAGGCTGAGAGAGTTGGGGCTGTTCAGCCGGGAGAAGAGAAGGCTGCAGGGAGATCTTATGGGGCCTTCCAGTACTTAAAGGGTGCTTATAAGAAAGATGGGCACAAACTTTTTAGCAGGGCCCGTAGTAACAGGACAAGGGCTAATGGTTTTAAACTAAAGGAGGACAGATTTAGACTGGATATAAGGAAGAAATTTTTTTCAATGAGGGCAGTGAAACACTGGAACAGGCTGCCCAGAGAAGCTGTGGAGGCTCCATCCCTGGAAACACGAGATGCATTGTGTCCCTTCAACTCAAGCCTTAACTTCAGTAGCTTAGTAAAATTATCATTACAATTTATTTCTTGCCTGGTTTGAGTGTCTCTATGCAGTTTAACATACACAATATTTAAAATTTTGTCATTCTTTCTACAGCTGTCTCCATTAACTTAGTATATTTTTTATAACAGTCATTTTTTTTTTGTAAAGAAAATTAAAAGGATAACTGCAACTTCGAAGCAACTACAGAAATTAAACTTAGGAATGAACACATCACTATCCATCAACGCTCGAAGGTTATTTTAAAGTACCGTTCTTAGATCTATCTTCTTATTCTTCCTCAAAGTGACATAGGATGCTATTGTTGAAGACTCTGGCGTTGGTGATTTGGTTCTGGGTGGTACAACTCCCACAGGAAAATGTGAGCCTGCAAAACAGTAAAGCAGCATACTAAGTGCTATGCAAAACACTGCCAAAACATTTTACTGTTTTCTAGAACATACACGTTGTCAGCCTCGGAAACTATTCTTCGAAAGAAAGCCAAGATCTTAATGCCTAACTCTCACATCTGTTAAGGTACACAGGCAGATGACTTTCCCCATGGGAAACTCCTGCACATGGCACGAGAAATTGCTGGACATAAAAATACAAATGTAGAAGTGTTGTCCCTGAGAAACAAGTTAGACAGCACTGTGTGGAATGGCCAGACTTCACAGATGGTTCAGGGGGAATTACATGAAAGACGGCCAAACTTCACAGACAATCGGACATCAGTACGGGGAACTTTGTGCGGAACAGAGTTTGCAAGGCCAGCAGAGTGCCTAGGTAGCCATCTCAGTGCTACCACTTCAGGCCAAGCTTACCTAGATAATGGCGTCGAAGATACACAATTTACCAGAAGTAGGACCAACGAACAAAAAGTAATTATGGGTGGGTTGTTTATTTGGGAGGAAATACAGGCTGCAAAAGGGATGGGCAAGGCGGATTGGAAAGAACAGGCATGGAATAACGGACCAGAGGGGGAATAAAAGGGGCCAGCTTTGCACAAAGCAGCCATTTGTCAGCATGCTTGTCTGACCAAGCCCCGTGCCTCAGCCTTGCAGTCTGTCTTATCTTGTTATTAAACTTCATTCTTAAGTATTTTCCATGCGAGTCTGCTTTCCCTTCTGCGCAGGAGAGATGCTAGTGATCTTCAAGCCAGGCTAGCTTCCCAGTAGGAGACAGCTACAGGGAGATCACACAGAGGTCTGGTGGACCAGGACAAGGAACGACTGTAGGTCTGTGGGTCGGCTATCAGAGGAACCATAAGTCTGGCCCTGCTACCAGGGGGGGACATTTCATCTGTGAGATGCTAACAAGCTTAAGACAAGACTAGATGGCAAACAGAATACAAGGTGTGGGAGCCAGCTGCCCAAGAGACCTTGGGTCTAGGATTCAGATATGGGTGAGGCCAGAGTTGACTGATGGACATACCATAGGTCTGGCCAGCTCTTGGAGGGACTCAATTGTGTGTGTGCACACGCGCGTGCTCATGTCTGTAGGTGGATGATACCAGCTAGCAAGCTTGGAGCCTGCTTAGCTGGCGAGTGAGAGCAGGATCATGCAGTTTGTGTTGTTCCACCTTCCTGTGAGCGCTGGTCTTGTTTACGCCGTGCCTGCACCAGCACTGGTCTCCAACCTGTCTGCGTTATCTGCTGCGGCTAGCTGTGGCTGTGCGTGTGCCCAGCTGGGCTATGTCCTCAGCCCTGCAGCTCGCTGTACGCAGGGACAGGGAACCGCAGCAGCCAGGCCCTGTCTGGTCAGGAGCTGAGGATATTCCGTGTCCCGATGTCCACTACATTCAGCCTCTTGTTACAACCTCCACCACTAGTTTTTCTACTTAGAGAAACCCTGCCAAATTGTAATTAAGCTGGTAGAAAACTGATGTAAGTTAAAGCTTACCAAAAATATACAGATATAATTAAATAATACATGCTTCGTTTTTGCTTCTTGATACATGCAGGAAACCAAACTATTAAAATATTGCTCCCTCACTGATTTTGCCTAAAAATAGATATAATGTCTTCAATAGCCAAATTATTTCTCCTTGTTTTTCCTGAAGTTGCACAGATTTCAGAGGATATATTGACTCGGTGAAGGCTCAACTCTTTCTCTAAATTGTTTGATAGGTTGAGAAAATAGTCTGCAGGCACTTGAATGCCAAATCCATAAATCAAAACGAAAAACTATGAAGCAACTATTTGGGTCTCCTTTAGATGTAAAAAGGATAAAACACAGAAGTCTTTTTTTCTTTGGTGTCACTCAGGTCATAAATAGTCCTCTGCTTGCAGACAGCTGTAAGGGTTACTTTACATAGCCCCGTAAAAATGTTTCTCTTTGATTGCTGAGATTTGAAGAGAGGGAAATGGCTGGCAGAGGAAACATGAGAAATGTCTACTACAGTAACGTGCACAATGAACTAGAAAAACATCTTTTAAATATCCTCTGAAATTTACTGATTGTTAGAACCACCCTCAACAGGAAACTATGTCATTTAAGTATAACTTCTTAAAACAGCAAGACAGAAAAATTGTAGAGATGAGCTGCCTTTGAGTTTGTCTCCCTTTTCAGCTTAGAAACTGCTAAGATAGAATGGCATAAAAATGTTTGCTGAAACAGCTTATAGTTGTAATGGCATATGCACTATACAAAGAAAACCCAGGAATGGTTATATTTTTCCTACTGCACGGGGATTGTTATTGTAAGTGAATACATAGAACAAAAAATATCCATTAGAAAATTCACATGCTGAAAAGTGTGGACCAGACGATAGAACACAGCTACGATACACTCACTTCACACTGTTGTTTAAGAAGATAAAAAGCCTCTTGCTGCTTGCTACTACTGCAGCTATTCTGTCCGCCAAGCCTGAATATTATTTATGTGAGAAGAATCTGTATTATTGCTTTCCCTTACTGAGGACTGTTTTTTCTACAAATGGACATAATAAATTACTTCTGTCTTTACAGAAATAATATTACTACTCCTTTAGAGAAGACAGAAAGCAGATTGGGGTGCTCAAAAAGTATTGGTTTGCTTTACATAATCAGTGCAGGCTTCCTTACGTTGTCTTGACAATTACTTTCCCTCTTGTCATAAATTACTATCAACAAACTGGAATACCATGGGTCAATAAAACCTAGGTATGCTGTCAGAAAGGTAACTTCCTCAATTTAGGTGGCTGATGATTAGCAAATCTCAAGCTAAACCTTGCACTTTTCACCACCAAATTAAAAGAGATTTAATATTTATCTTAAGTGAATGTTAGACCCCAGCAAATACCATAGTGAATCTGAATTGACTAATTGTCTGGTAAGTGCAAGCTTCACTCCATCATAGGGCCATTCACATTGCTTACACCCAAACTGTCTGCTAACCTTAGTTTTAAAAACCTCCATTACTGTTCTGATGAAAAGAATGTCCTTATACGACCGCAGTTCTTGGTCAAATCCTGGTACTGTTGCACCAGCCTGCTATGCACACGCTTAGTCAACCCTCCATAACAGAAGCCAGTGATCTTGCTGGCACTGGAAACATCAACCGTTATGGTAACAAAATGGATAAGCTTAGTAATTTTCTCTGAAAGCTCTTAGTATGGTTTTTGGGAGGTGCTCAAACTGCTTTTCCTGAAGTCACCTTTAACAAACTATTCTGTGTGTTTTAACAAACAGAATTGAGAAGCACTCCCTGGTAAAAGACTCTACCAAGCAATTAGTAGCTTTTATGGAAGCTAGATGAAGAGAAGAATCTAAAGCATTTAGCAATTGCAAAGACCTTTATTGTCTGTACACTCCAAGGTCATGATCATTATTCCTATTATATCAGAGGACAGAAGGCAATTCAACAATTACAAGATTAAAAAAAGAAAAAGACATTGTTTCCCTGCCTTATGAGAGCCTGAAAATTCTGTGGTGCTGCCTTTTTGGACGTTCCAGTGACATAACATCGGGAGCTTGATTCAAAAACTGAATAATTGTTCAAGGGCAAGAACATAAAATGGGTAATTGTTCAAGGGAATGGTGTGTGGGGAATGTGAGTGATGTGATTAGACATGGTGTCAATAAGGATTTCAGGGCTGTTGGTGAGTGTAATGTTTGATTTTTCTGTGGTGTAATTGACTGAAATCTTTCTTGTCATGTAATTAAATCATTATTTTATCGTGGAAGCTGTTTCAGCATATTAAGAAACAGACAGGCTACAAAAATACGAAGGATAGTATAACTTCTATAACACAGTTAAAGCTTTGCCTTCCTTGTGAAAAAGGCTGAAAGGCTGTGAACACCACGCCTAGGGACAAACCTTTAGCTGTAGATTCTGATTCTGAAACTTGTTCTGTTTTTTCTTCGCCATTAGACTCATCCACTTCTGCTACTGTAGTCAACTCCGGTTCACTCTTATAAAGCCTATAATCAGGACCCTGAGGAACAACAAGTTATGAGATAAATAAACAGACAATTTTGTACCAGCATTTATGTCTCAAGACTCAAAACAGTTGCTTCTGTGATGACTTTGCTCTTGCTTTAAGACAATATTTCTTGTTCAAGTGCTATTGCAGCAGTGTTTTTTGGTAGTTAATTTGCGTAACAACATTTGTAGATTTTCAGAAATTACAGAAAAAAATTGCCATAAAAATACAGAGGTTTTTTTTTTTCTTCTAAACTATCTTCAAGAAACAATTTGTATAAGGCTTCAGTGAAAACCAATTCTCAGCCTGGAGTTTTTTTAAGAACTTGTGAGCAGAAGAATTTAATTTTCTGAAAATTACTCAGATATAGTCCTTTAAGTCTTAAGACATTTTACATACGCACAAAATATATGACAGGAAAATGTGAAGAGCAAGATGGAGCTGTAAATAAAACTAAGTAGCCAAAAGTAAAAACATAACACAAAAGTAGCCAGATGACAAAATAAAAATTGTGACTGTGCAAAGGAAGTCAAGAACGACGTGGCAGTTTAAGCCACTTACACAGTAAGATCCATTTCTCTGATATCCTTGAACTTGGTGAATCTTCTTTTCTTCTGGCAGATGTACTGGGCCCCTGCTATAACAGAGCAAGGAGCTGCTATCACTGGGCAGAGGGGGGATTATGGGAGGATGCTCTGTAAAGTCATAGGACCGAGGGAGTGGAGGACGAGGTGGGACTACTTCCTCTTCCTAAAGATTGTAGAATAGTCACCTTATTTAGATGTGCACACCTGTTACAATTATTTATAACTTCAAAAGCAAAATAGATTACCATAGCTACACCAGCTACAGATTTTGGAATTAAAGGGACAATGTCACACACAATAAAAAAAGAAGGCCAAGACAGCTTTATTTTCTTCGGGTTTCTTTGGGGTTTTTTTTTGTTCTTTTGTTTGCTTTTTACTTTATTACTACTTCCTAGACTGAGATACTTCAGCAGTTCTATTATTCAGTTTATCAAGATTTTCAGTTCCAACACCTGCACTTTCTGTTGGACATGGATGAGCTCTCTGAATCATCCTTTTAAATTAAATTCAATGTATTTTTAAAGATTCGTATATTTAGAGATCTCTGTAAGCCAGATGTATATTGCATAAACTTTAGATGACCACGACAATGTCCCTTTAAAACTGTAACTTCTAGCCAGATTTTCAGAGGAATTCAACATTTGGGAGCTCCCACAGTTTCAGCTGTTCTTGTGGGTGCTCTGGTCATCTGAGAACCCGGCTCAATACGTTAATTGACATATAAAGCAATGTATTTCCTCCCATGAAAAGTGTGGTGGGTAGAAAAGAAATCCATAAATCAGGGTTTAGACTTCTAGGGTAAGAGCCTAGGGAGAGGTAAAGGTGAGAAACGGAAAAGAGAAACGTACTGTTGAGAGTATAATGACACGGAACAAATGAAAGTGTTAGAATTACTAGTGGAGACAATCAATCTTTAGAAGTAATTCATAATGCAATATTTTCCACAAAGACATACTGAATACATACTCCAGACATCCTTAAAACAATTATAATAATGTTCATTTTTATCATATGCATATAAGAAATTCAGTGATGCTAAAACGGTAAATGTACTAAAAGCATACCTCATTTTTATATTTAATAGCTGAAAATGTCCTTGATCCCATGATTCCTGTTTGGGGGGAGGGGGAAAGGCATAGAAGGAAAGAGAAAAATGGGTTTCAATGAACAGCTTTTAAAATATATATAAACTGTTGCTATCAAACAAATACACAAATCATCAACTTAAAACAGATGATTGCCGCCTTCTTTTCTCAGCAATTGTAACGTTTTCTCAAACATACAGAAGCAACTATGGATCTTATCTTTTAAAAAATGTATACGAATGAATCTCCCTTCCTACGAGAAAAAAGCCCAATCAGTTTACCTGCCTCTGAAGAGCTTCTTTGCTGTTTATGTTTACTTAAACCCTCCATGACATCTTGAATTCTCCACAGTTCCTTCTGAATCTGAGCACGCTGTATCCCTGCTGACTCAGTCTGCCAGTAAGTAGACAGCATACATAGGTAATAAATTAGAATACATTGCACGCAGAAAACAAACAAACCAGAAAACCTTTTTCTTTCTTCAGACTACACTGCATATTCTTTCCCAATGCAGGAAAATAACATGCAGTAATGACAGACACTCTCCTTTCCCATACAAATGCAACATTCAAATATGGTCAGAAGCAAAAAGTACAAGATTAAGTAATTTCATCATGTGACAGTTAATTTGACAGCAATTTGCTAATTCAAACTCTAGTTCAAACTGTTTAAGAACAGAACTGTATCTACTGTCTCCAAAGAAAATCCAGGCAAACTTTGCACAGGAGACCTACATACAATAAAAGCAAAGGAACCATCAGTTCCAACCCTAAAACAGGTGGAGATGAACACGGTGTCTGCGTACTAGCATATAAACTGCGGGCCTGTCAGCATTCATAGAAATCATAGAAAGTTTTGGGTTGGAAGGGACCCCTAGAGGTCATCTAGTCCAACCCCCCGCAGCAAGCAGGGACACCACTAACTAGATCAGGTTGCTCAGAGCCCTGTCCAACCTGGTCTTGAATGTTTCCATGGATGGGGCCTCCACTACCTCTCTGGGCAACCCATTCCAGTGTTTCACCACCCTCATTGTAAAGAATTTCTTCCTTATATCCAGCCTAAACCTACCCTGTTTTAGTTTAAAACCATTACCCCTCGTCCTGTCACTGCTGTCTCTACTAAAAAGATTGTCCCCACCTTTCCTATAGGCTCCCTTTAAGTACTGAAAGGCTGCAATCAGGTCTCCCCGCAGCCTTCTCTTCTCCAGGCTGAACGAGCCCAACCCTCTCAGCCTGTCCTCATAGGAGAGGTGCTCCAGCCCTCGGATCATTTTTGTAGCCCTCCTTTGGACCCGCTCCAACAGTTCCATGCCCTTCTTGTGCTGAGGGCTCCAGAGCTGAACGCAGTACTCCAGGTGAGGTCTCACCAGAGCAGAGTAGAGGGGCAGAATCACCTCCCTCGACCTGCTGGCCACGCTTCTCTTGATGCAGCCCAGGACACCGTTGGCCCTCTGGGCTGCCAGCGCACATTGCCGGCTCATGTCCAGCCTTTCGTCTATCAGTACCCCCAAGTCCCTCTCAGCAGGGCTGCTCTCGATCCTTTCATCCCCCAGCCTGTACTGGGGATTACCCCAACCCAGGTGTAGGACCTTGCACTTGGCCTTGTTGAACCTCATGAGGTTCACACAGGCCCACCTCTCCAGCTTGTCCAGGTCCCTCTGGATAGCATCCCATCCAGCATGGCATGGCTGTGCATGCTTTGGACTGCATAACACAAATTTCTCAGCTCTTGGGCTTCCTTGTGATTTCCCTTTCATCACTGCATAGAAAATCCCTCCCTGGAGCAAACAGCATGTTACGCCTCCCAGCATGCACCACACCCGTCTGCCTATTCCAGATAACGTATGCACATGTGTGTGTGCGTGTCTCACAAACATCTCCGCAGAAATTCAGAACGTCCGCTAACTGCCCAATTCACCACCGCACAGCCAGCGAATGAGATACACGCCAGAACTCCTCACACGCAAGACACAAAGCAACGCTCAGAACATTTTTTATTAAATTTCTTCTGATAGAATGATTTAATTATATTTTAAAATATTAAGTTAAGTGGAAGGATTTGTGTGAAGATTTACTATGACTGTCATAGCAATCAAGGTCTGAGAAATTGCTCAGTCCCCGTTTTGGACCCCACCACTGACACAGCAAGAGGAGACCTCCAGATACAGGAAAACCAGTGCTACAGCTTCAGAAAATCAGGAAAAGCTGAAGACCTCCTCAGAACTTACAAACTTGTAATTTCTTTTCATACCTGGTAAGTTAATGCACCACATGTCCTCCTTTTTTCATCTGTGTAGTTTTAAAAACTATCATAGAAAATGAAAGTGACTTCAATGTACTTTAAGACCTGTGCCACACCTGAATTTCTCCAAGCCGATCGAGTTGCTCCTGCATATGGTTCCTTGTTACAGTTACATCATATTCCAATTTATCATACTCTCTCCAAGCTCTTTCCAGTTCCTAAGTATATAACAAAAGTAAAGAATTAGAGATGCCTATTCAAGTAAAAAAAAAAAAAGTATATTTATTTTTCTTTATTCAGTGGCATGACACTTCAGCAAGTAATGCATAAATAGATACCAGCAACAAATAAATATGTATTTTAGACAATACAATGTTTAAACAGCTTTTTGAATTTCTAATGATACTGAATGGAATTCAAACAAACAGTATTTTGTCTTTTCACAAACAAAGAAGACAGGCAAGGGCAAAGTCTTCAGAATACATCTTTACAGTCAGCAGGCACGTGGCTCTTAAGCTTGCCTTCCATCGAGGTAGAACACCCACAAAAATGGGTGCAAATTTTTCTCTTTTATCACATAGAATACATATGTGTGAGTGCACAGCATGTGTGTGTCTGTGCAACATATTATGCAAGGCAAATGTAAGTTCTCCAGCCCTGCCTGTCAGGTTACCAGGGAGTGCCTCAGCCCTGCTAATATGCCATTATTTTACATATGTGAAACTACAAACAGCAGAAGGGAGAAAGTGCAGATAGAAAATCTTCTTTGAGGTCAGCTCTACCATCTCACTTTTTAAGCCTACATCAAGCAATTTACTCAATTTAGCATGAATTAAAAAGTTAATGAGGGAAAGTATATCTCAAGGATTTCCTTTCCTCTGATTCCCTTTTCCTTCTCCAACCAGTTCCTTTTACAACACAGTCCAACCTTCAGACCAGAACCAGTATTTCAGGGCCTACTTAATATAAATTTCACCATAGCAAACAACTGGAGTTTGACACTTTTTGGATATATATGTAAGCAGGCAAAAATGATCCTTTACCTTGTCATTTCAGTGCAGAAACCATCATGAAATGGAAAAGGACAGTAAATAGCAATTCCCTTCTTTTCCTTTGTGTGTTTCTTTTTTTTAAGATTTTTGAAAGTGTGTAACTTGAAAGATCTTTTAAATATAATGGCCCACTATTACGAGAGACCATGACAGCAGAATCTTTTCTTTTTTTCATCCTGCAGCTGCTTTTGCTTAAAATAAGTCACCTATCTGATTTAATCTTTGATAACTTTTGTGCTTCCTACTATTTTGACATCACATGAAATAGCATATTTGCATTTTTTACTTCTTCTGTAATCAATTTTTCATATTATAAAGATGAAAATTACCACACCAATTAAAGTCAGGATGCACCATTCCTGGTCCAAAAAAAAAAAAAAAAAAAAAAAAAAAAAAAAAAAAAATTTAAAAAAAACTACTCAATGAATATAGTGGAAAGTTCACTTTCCAGCTGCCTTTGACAAAATTACAAGCAAGTAAAAGACAACCGAGTTTTGTTGGAACGTAATGAAAAACAATCAAAGACAACCCAAGTAAGAATATGAAGATGATCGTTTAACACTTCATGGAGTTATACTGGCAAGAACATGTTACTTACTGCAGTAGCTCGCGATACTTCTCGACAAGTGCTAAGTAGTCCGTTCTGCAAGTCATCTCTCTGCAAGACTACATTTTGTATGGCTGCGGGATTATCTGCATTCATTTCTATCTCCTGACTTGCTGATAGCAAAGCTTGTTCAAGCGTGTACTATTATAATAAAAAGAATTATTTTTAATGTTCTGCATCATTGGGCTGATTTTCATTTTATTTCAGTTACCAACGTTCTGATAATAAGCATGTAAAATAACATCCACTTTAGGTAATAAATACAATTGTCCTACTTTCTCCTTGTGTAGCTGTTGAAGCTTCTCTTCCAGTGCTTGTACAACTTTATCTTGTTCACATAAACGGCTAAGCTTAGCCTGGTATGTAACAGAAAATGATGTAATTAGGATTTCATTTTTAACATCTTCATCAATCAAAACATAACTTGATCAAAGAAAAATCTATATAAAATTTTATTACCACAAAACATGATTTCTAAAACTGAAGACATCAGTGTTGTATTTTCAAATTACTCTTAACAAACCCTCTTAAGATACGATGAAATAAGTGTTATTATGACTTGAAACAGCATGGCTCAAAACACATAATTTATGATTCTCCAGCTAAATCTTTACAACTTAATAATAGGTACTAAATACCATTTTAATTTACATATTCCTCAGCACTATAAAGAATATCACATACATTTACAGTCTTTCCCATGGTTTATTTCAGGTTTTTACTAGTTAGTTACTAATACTATCCATGTTCTGCTCCATTTTACCTCCAGTCGAGGCTTGGCTATGACTAAAACTGTTCCACTCCAGCTCCAGTTTGAGCAAATTACTGTTCAGTGCACTCTAACCAATTTGAACCAGTTTACTTTTCTATTTGAACTTTTTTTTTTTGTTCATTTTGTGCTGCTCTGACTTTTTAACTCTAATATAACATTGGAAACCTACTTTCTTTTTTACTCTTCGAATAACAACCCTTCAATCAGTATCTCTACTCTTGCTTGCATTGTGCAAGAATGACTAGACATGCATATGTATGCATATACAGTATGACTGTATGTGTGTATTTTTCACCACTGATTTTAAAACTTACTTTAAACACCAAAGCCCTTTTCTTTAGTAATTAGCAACCCAGTACTCTGAATGGTACCTACCCATGCCAAAGTTCAGTTTTGTAGTGTCGGTCATATTTCCTCAGAAATTACATGTCCCATGCTTATAGCTGAACTACAGCTACAGAGTTGTTCCCTTCTAAAGTAAGTCATTCCTTTCTAGAAGCAATTCACCTTTGAACAGATATAATACTTGAAATTTCAGCCTAAAGGGTAATACTTCCTGCAAGTTAGAAGCTTATTACAAAAAGAATCTTATGTACCTCAATTTCACAAAGCAATTTCTGTGAGTAATCACCTATACGAACTGCATTTCAAACCCAAAAGTCAAGGGGGAAATTATTATCAAGAGACAAATACCAACATTTCCAAGGAAGAAAAAAATACAAATTACTTACATCAATATCCAGCTCTTCAGTTCTATATTTGTATAGTGTACCCCTACACTCTTCTTGTGTTAACTATAAAGAAGAATAATATTGCCATAAAACAACTTAATTGGACTATGAAAATGAAACTACTGTACAGCTTAAGAGCTTTAATGCAGAAATCAGCTTTTGCTTGGAAGTCAAACATACCACATTGAACGATGTATTTTTAGCCAATATGTGTTAATGAAGATAAGTAAGTGGAATGTCAAGCAGACTGTCAGTAGAAAGTTGCATTAACTTAACAGGCTACGTTTCTAACGCAAAGCGGATTTTTAAAGATGTCCAACTAACTCAATCAAACCTGGATTATGTAGGAAGATGAAACTGCCAGAGTACACCTAGGCACAGTTATACATCATTGTGTACGTTCTCTTACGTGCATTCTAAACACAGGGACTCAATCTACTTGGAATTAACCATTCTAGGCCCACTAAGGTCAAGTGCATTCACAAGGAGGATATTCTGATGGGAATCTGAAATCAGAACAGAATGACCTAAGTATACAAAATACATGTAGAATACCTCGTAACAGACGTATGCCCAGTAAGTTCCACCAAATACCTTTCTGCCTACTTTCTCCTATGGATTCCCTCCCCCCCAGAGTATTACCAGAAATGCCATCAATGGAAGCCCTTCTGGTTTATCTTTCGACCTAGGCAAACTTGTCACCTCATGCCAGTCAGCATGTAAGGTATCCTCAAACTACTTACATACAGCCCCTCACATTAAGTTCTTAACTCTCTCAGTCTCTGAACTGACCAGTGACAAGATTTAAAAATATTTTACATGAAAAAGGTAGCTCCCCATTTTAGAACGGAGTGTCACTGACAGTAACTACTCAATGTCCTACACAGCAAGTACTGGCATAACACTATCAACCGTCGTATTCTATTTAAATAAAACCATGTGTGCCTTGAGTTCCAATATAGATGCTTTCCTTTCATGTATCTGTCATAATTAGGTCATCGTGACTTAATAGTGCAAGAAAGACTATAAAAACACAAGTCCATGTTAAAGGACGCTTACAAATAAAAGGAGTAGGGAAGGGTTAATTAGACAAGCATTCCAAACATACAGTAAATCTTCAACACACTTAAGTGTTTCATTTCCAGACATTATGTCCACATACCTCATGCAAATACACCTGGTGACAATTTAAAAGTATGTATAGTGTATTAAAACCACACAGTAACTTTCTTTGAAATGGACATTTTATGGAAATGAGTGTTGGAACACGAAAAAAGCCACAGCACTTTAGCACCTCATGAATGTCACAAAACTTAGGATATTTACTTAAACTCCTACTATTGTAGAGTTGCGTTTTTTAACTGTTGATTTTATCACAATGAGAGAAAAATGAGGAATGGAAATATTTAAAAAAACTCATAAACATGGCCAAATGTCCTTAACTTGCAGAGAAAACCTAGTTATATTTTACAACAGAAAGATTTTACAGAAGAAAGATTATCCCCTACTAGATAAATACATCTTCCCAAGACACTGCTCAGCATTTTATATAGCTTGCCTGGAAAAATGTAATGCTATTTTTTCAAGCCAGTATTTTTCACACTTTTTAATTTTTTTTTTTTTAAAGAGAGACATTTATTTATTTGGCATTTCAATCTTAATTATAGCCAAGTTTCAAATACCTTGCCAATTCAGCATACTTATTTATCCCTGCCTATCTCCTAAAAGAAATATATTTTCAGTATTCAGAAAACAAAAACACACTTTCAAAGAACACTACGCACGTGCTAATTCTTCTTATTAAAACCCTATCATACTCCTAAAATTGCTGCGAACTTTTTGCTTTTGTCAGTGGTACCAGTTGCGTGCAATAGGCACTACTGGAGAGCCCCTTCATTTCAACGTTTCTACTGCAACATTTTATGGAGACTTAGTGTAAAAACTCTAAAAATACTATGAAACACTTAATCCATCTCTGACAAAACAGCTGCTTCTCTTTCCACAGCGCATATACAAATCAGCTTAAGGCAAAAAGTGCAGAATGCTATCACATCCTACTGGAATTATGAGCGGAATTCACAGTAGACAAAGTGGAATTACATATTACAAGTAAGGACAATGACTTCATCACCCCAGAAAACGCATTGTAAGAGCTCCAATGATCAAGTTTTGAAATGTATTTTATGTCACATTCAGCAAACGTCCCTCTCATCAAATAGTTCCTACAAATCCTTCCCCAGGACAGTAACCTCAGAGGAAGAGTGCCACCTACTGAAACACCAATATGACTTGCTGCTGACTTCCACACTTTTCCCCAACATTTACCTACTCAAATACAAAAATGTCCATTCCTCTTAGCATGGTGAAATACACCGCACAGCTCCCAAACATCAAGGAGCAGGACCCTGAGTACCTACCAACAGAACTTAGCATTTCTAAAAGGCCAACTCCACATGCAGAGTTTGGCCAAACGTGTATCTCACATGTGAAAAGGTAAAGTGACCTTAACTGAACCTTTGTCTGATGTTAGAAACGATTTTTCAGCTGCTTTACAGTCCCACTGCACAGTCCCCATTCCATCAAACGCCAGTACCAGATGAATCAGAGAAGTGGATAAATCTACCACAATGGACACAATATAAGATGTCCTTAGACAAGCAAATGGATGTTACCTTGCTGCACTCAGATTTTAATTTTTCTCCCTTTAGGGAACTCACACACATAAGAGGAACTGAGGATAATTCTGCTTTTTAAAATCAGAATATACTGCTTTAAAAGATTAACACTCCTCACCTAGTATTAGAAAGAAACAGAAAAACCCAAGGTAGAAATGGGTGCAGGCTGTAAAAGCTTCTGTTGTTCTTGTCTGTACATATGGAATCCTCGCCCTGGCTTATATTTGTAAATTTACAGTACAATCTGTAGAGCAGAAAGGTTTAGAAGACTTATTTAGGCAGTGAAATTTTAATGCAGTATTTTGTATAGGAAACCTCGTCTGTGAGAGCAGAAAGTCTTGCCATTCTCCAGTTTATGGAACACATGGGTTCTTCTGCACAAGCCTGCCAACATGTCACAAACGCTCTGACCTGAAAAGACCCCATCTCTAGTGACAAAAGGTCATTTGGTCTTCATGACCTGTTCCAGTCACTGTTTCTTTGACAAGAATGTCAAAAAAGGTGCTTATTCAGTGTCAAATCCGAAGCAGCAGGTAGATCTACAAGGCGAAGGCAGTGCTGTGTAGCGATACCTTAGCTGGCAGCATAGCTTCATCGAGACAGCACTCTGAAATTTATGGCTATCCCTAACTGAGAGGGCAGATCAGCCCAGGCACAACTATACTAATAGCAGCTGAGCAAATTTACCCCCACACATCCAAAGCCCCTCTGTGCATTATATTGTATGTTGACTTATGTCTTACATACTCTATCACAGAAAACTGATTTGTTTTCAAAAAAATCGTAACGGCTAGGCTTCTTTGACAAAAAACAAACACAATAAAAAACAATTTCATTTAGGACTTGAGGGCACCTTACTTCGCCCACTCCTCTGCCAAATAGCTCCTTCAGGTTCCATGTTAAAGCTCCTGTTTTGCACACAGGAGTACAAATTGGACGATCCTGAAATCAAAGTCACTCACAACCCAATTTCTTTTGGAAAGCTGAGATTTTTCTTGCAACTTCTCTGGCTCACAAGCAAATCTACAACGTGGAGTTGACTTCCAATAAAAAATGAAACATGAAATTAAGCTGCAGCATTTCTCAGAAACATGGCAAAGCATTAATCACTAATAAATGACTGTTCTATGTGGCAGAATGTCTCCTTCAAACTATGCAATCTTTATAGTCATTTTGGCTCACAAGAGCATAAATGCAAGTGTGAGGGAACTGGTCAGGTATTCATTTCTGACTAGCAGCCAGAGTTGCACACCTCATCTGCTGCAAAATATCGTAGTCTTTTAAGTTAAGAACATCATTGTTGCAGTTGAGGCTAGAAACTTCTGAAACATTCCCTGATGTGACAGGAGCTATTCAGTTAAGCCCCAGTATCCCCCGGACGCTGCAGTGCCAATGGATACATATTGGCCATGCTCATAAGTTAATGCAGGTCTCAACTCACAGACAATATTTCCATTCACATTTCTGATTCTTCTTCCATCTTACCATTCACAACCATCACTAGATACTCTGTAAGTGTGCACGGTTAAGCCTGCTGTGACTTTATGAACAGACACTGCCTTTTGGATTTACAGTTCCCAGATCAAAGTAATTTTGATCCTTCCTTTCTTCAGTGGCTAAAGGCTTGGTAGGTGCAAAGAAAAACTTGTAAATCCACTTCCTAGAACAAAAAATTGCCAGAAATGACCAGGTAAACACCACTCACATGCTTTCGTAGTGGTCAAAAGAAAGAAGCACCTTTGAACACTAATTGCAGAGAATCATGCTAAGACAAATGTTGGAAGCTTATTGGAAGTTTTATGAATTTACTGGACACCTGCATCAAACATGAACTAATTAAATCATCTAGACAGAAAAAGTTATCCAAAAGTGTACATTTAATACTTAACAACAAAAACGCAGCAAAAGCCATGCTAACGATACTGCAGCATTTTATACAGCATGGATGACTTGTGGTTTTCCAAAGCAAAGAAGAGAAACACCAATGTTATGAATAAATCTGAGGAACAACCAAAACTGTCACTAAGGAAAATTTTCGCAGATGATAAAGCAGTTTCATTCACTATCCAAGACCTTACTTGGTGGTACAGTTGCGGTCTTAGCGCCGAGTTCTCAATCATAGTGTGAACCATGGTGATTAAAGGTTCATTCTCTTTCATCTATTTCAAATCAGGAGGAGCATACAGCAAACATCAGTTTACAGCATGGCTAGATTTGAAAGACGACACTGTAAAATATAGCCTCTACTTTAATTTTTTCTAATAATGCAGTAGATTACATTTTATCCCATGCTTTTTATATATTCCATCATTCAGTAATAACAACATCTGAAAAGTTTAATAATATCAAACAAATCTATCAAAACCACACAAATGCTCAAAACCCATGTAATATTTATTCAGCAACACTCTCCCCTTTTAAAAATAAAAATGCTTAAAGTAAGCCTGGCTTTGCACAATACTGTAATGAAAAGTATTATCGGATTATGCAGTAGGAACACTCGAACCTTTATCAGAAAACCTTCTAAATTATAGATTTATAATCTCAATGCATATTAAAAATGATACAAGCATTCTCAACCTCTGAATATTGAAGCAAGTTTTAGATTTATGTTCATGTATCACAAAATGCCTTTATATACTGCACTGATTTATATGCTTAGGAACTTTAAATCATTAGTCATTGTATTTCTCCATGGGTGTGAAACTATTTTGGAACTGGTCAGACATTTTCTATCATGATTAGTATTTGCCGATATGTGTGCAAATGTCAAAACCACATACTTTGATTACTACAGTAAAAAAGCTGCACACATGTAGGATTTCAGAAAAATATGCAACACAGAAAATAATATGGGATTTTTTGTTTTAAAAAGGAGACTTTCCTAACAGTAAGGGAAATATTATGAAAACATACAATTTTCCTCTCCAAAAGAAACTGAAAGGTCACTTAATGCACAATCCCCCTCCTATTTTTGTTGGAAACTTTAGGACCTGTCAGAAACTTCAGGGAATTTTAGCAAAACCTGCTTCAAGTATGGTTACACGGGAAGGAAGCATGTGTATTAATATTTATGATCTTTCATTCTGTCTTCATGCATAGCTATGTACTCACCACGAATTTGCATGGCAAGGTTTTGTTTCACAGATCGAAAGGCAACAACAGAAAGCCTGAGTTTTTGATGCCTTTTGGAATTTCTTGCCCCTAATTATTTAGGAAAAATACTAACTTGTACATTTGGAGAAGTATTTTTTTTTTCTCCTTATGGGAAACACATTTTTTTGGTTACAGATAGAGGACCTGAGGACCTTTTTGTTGTTGTTGTTGTTTTTTATACATAGTAAAGTCTGATCAGCTGATAAGTTACCCACCCAATAAAGAGTACCTTATCTTAAGCAGGCAAACTTATTCTCTGCTTCTTCAAGGCAGGGAAAAGCCTAAACAAGCAACCTCTCCCATCTGCTCCATCACCTACCGTATACAGAAACAGAAAACTAGAACTGACACAAGAAGTTGTACTCCCTTTACATCAAAACTTTGCCCAGAGAGCGGGTGCACCAGGTGATACCAAAAGATATTGCAGCAGTAAGATCAACAATAAGGTCCAAAGCCAAGCAATAAAACTACAGCCAACTGAAATATTTGCAAAGGAAAATTTGCTCTGAGGCTGAAATATTTTATTAGGAATATACTGGTTTGGATGCATTTTTATTAGGAGGATTTCAACACCTGGCTAATTCTGGCAAATTCTTTTTCACAATATTTCAGTTTTTTTCTTTCTGACTGATAACAGCCAAAGTCAGAATTAATTTCTGTGGAACTGTTCAAAGATTGTTTTCATCCAGATTAGAAAAGAAGCAAAGTGGATTTGCTCAAAAGATGTTCTGAAATAATATTTTGTCCTCCAGCCAGCTCCAACTTTGATTTATAGGACTTCCAATATTTTTACTACCATCGGTGCTCAACCGTGCTTATCTAACACCATTTGCAAAGCCCAGTTATTTCTAGAAAAGCTCCAGTTCCTTAAGCCCTTATGGAACAAAGATCAAAACCCAGATAATTGGTAAAGTAATGCCAACCAAAGAGCCTTTGTAGCAGTCAAATATAGCAAGCTATTTTCCCCTTTAGGAAATAATGTTTCCAACAAATACTGACATTTAACTATTGAGAAGTTAAGTTCTTGAGGGAATATGTATCTGTCACAAACTTCTGTTAACTAAAGCCAGTGCACATACAAGGCAATGCGTACTGAAGAACTGGCAAAGTAAACCAGAGTTACACGGGACACAATGGCAAGTCCCATGCTCTAAAGGGTGAAGAGGACACCTATTTTCTGTTCCTAAAGCATTGCCATGAGGCTACTCGCAAACTAAAGCTGGACACTATTCACATTCAACAAACAGCTTAAGGAAAAATATTTGCTTGTTCGTAACAGAAACAAGCCTTGATTTTCTCTCACTTCAGAAAAAAAAAATATTATTTTTGTACAGTAAAGGACCTGTTAGATCCGATGTGTAATACTAATAGCATCCTAGTCACAGAGTCTCTCCAATTAAAGACGTCACAAAAATTGGAATTAAGATTTTCATAAGCAAACTGAAGTGTCAACTGCCTGATGCCACACAGCAACACAGCAATAAAACCAAATAAAATCCATCAGTCTTGGCTTTATCACTTACTACTTCTACTAAATAACTTTTTCCCCCCAGATGTGATGCTTGATCTTTGCTTTTATCTTTACTGATGTAGTACATAAAAGCATTTTCCAGTTGGAAACAATGAGAAAAACACCTCCTTAACATATGATTTACACGAACAGCTACATTATTTATGAGCGGGTGTTTTGTGTTTTGAACTGTAAAGCCAAGCTATTGACAATTTTTCTCTTCCTTGCTTTTCCTAAGTTCTCTTCTGTGTTTGATAACACCCTGCACAGATCACAGATGACATTTCAGTACGTGCTGCTCTGGTGGCAGCAATCAGCTGGAACAGTAGCTCCCTACCAGGGTGGCTGACCTCACTGATCAGGTAAGGCCGTATGTCATGGGTGACAAAAGACTGAGCTCAGCAGTGGCAACAGGACCTAACCACGCTTTGCTCCTACCTTTCCTCTGCTCTTTCATCTTCTGTCCAAAAAGAAGAAGGAAAAAGCACTTTTCCTTCCTGCCTTCTTTTTATAGCAATGCTGCCTCCAGCACAGCATTTTTTTCACCCTGCAGAGCCCCTGCCCTGGAGCCTCCGTTCTACCTCTGGAGAGGGTAATGTGAAGAAAAGAACCAGCAGAAAGAACAACAGTGGTGGCTCAGTCAGCTCGCTCTACCTTTTCCAGATAATCTGAAAAATGCAGGTAAGAGTAGTATCCTATATACTGCTAACATAGAACATAGAATTTTAGGCTGAAACACAAGGTATCAGATATAATACAGGGGATCTGTCAGCTCCAGCCAAACCCCCTTGTACTGTTCCAGCCTCCCTGAATTTACTACTTTTTCCCAGAACACCACCTTCAGCATCTCAGAAAGAGGGTGGTGAAAAGGAGAAACACCCAGACAGTATGGATGCTGGCTGTGGGACCTCCACTCCTTTATTTGACAGCTTCAAGTTCTGTTTATTTTTATGCACCCTTTGAAAACCGAAAGAAACTAAAAATGAAAGTACCAGGAGAAGTATATGAACTACGTAACACCTAAACTATTTATGAAAATAGCATTTCAAAAAAAAAAGGGAGGGGGGCATGGAATGAAAGATTACATGAAATTTGGTAGAGCTTCTACTGTGACAAACCAGCCTGGGATATGCTGAGATCAATATGACAACACTCACGGAGAGTTTCACATAGATAGCTTAAGCTCAGTAGAAAAGGTTTTTTCAGCCAAAGAAAAGTTTTGCTATCAACATAAAATTCAGAAGTCTAAGAGACTGGTTTGCTGGCATTCTCCGTAGTAACAAAAAGATTCAAGTGGGACCTCCTGCCATGGCTTTATTTTCAAGGGAGAAAAACGGTGTGTCTAGCTTTTAGCTGAAAAAGATTATGTTCTCACTTTTTGTTACTGTTATCGCAATTACTGGGTACAAATTCATTAAGGTAACTGATAGCTTGGATTTAGTAATACACAATAAGTGATCTCTTCAAATTTGATAATGCAGAAGGCTGAGACTATATGTGCCCTCGTAACACGTTGGCACACAAACCATCATGGCCTAGGGTCGCTAGCTATGTCCAAAGAACCACCTGAAAGCCAGACGAGTCTCTCTGCCGCCTCTCTACAAACCTTGAGCCAGCAGAGTGGTTCACAACCTCGCTTGAAAAAAAAAAGGATGCTTTGATGTCTTTGGCTGTAAGACATCAAAGAAATCATATGGTTGGGTATATGTGTGTCAGTCTTTTCAATCTTTTTTTCCCCCCCATCTCTGAACTCCAACAACAACAACAAAAATTCTGAAAGCGTAATACAAAAACACCAAAAAAGTGTAACATAAGAATTTCAATTTCTAACCATCTCAAAAGGAAACATCAGTACAAAAATGAAGCATGATTTTAAAAAGGCTATGGGATATTCCGGACTCTTGATAAGAAAGCCACCTAACCAGCAGACAACAACTTACTGCAGGAGCATGAAAGTCATCCTCCCTACACAGGAACTCCAGTCTGCCTGAAAAACTTACTAATCATTGTATGCACGGTACTGAATTCTTTGTGACCAAAAAGGAGAGAGCTGAAAATAACAGGACTGGAGTTCCGCCACATGCTCTAGGGCAAAGCCGGTTTTGACACTATTTTCAGAGATTAAATACGAGTGGAAATACCTAATTTAAGTTCACTAGACATTTAAAATTCAAAGAGGGCAAGTGATTATGCAAGCTGGTTACAGATAGAAGTAACAAGGAGGAAAAGGCCTTAATTAGACTAAAAGAAACTGATTTTTTTTCTTCCCATCATAAAGAAAAACTGATAATGGACAAAGTAATAAAAAGATATAAATGAGATACCACCCCTAGAAGCAGTGGTACTCAAAGCAAAAAGACTCTCAGGGGATTTATTTCATACAGGTAGCTGGCAGAGTTATATTAAATCAAGAGAAAAAAAGAAAAAAAAAAAAAGATCAGAAATTGGGACAAGTATTCCAACCTGCTTATGAATGCAGGTTGTGCATTCCAT